AAGGTTTTGTGGGTTGGCCTGAGAACTGTAGCACCATTACAATATTTCACTGATGGGAACATGTGTTTTGAGTTTCAAACAGCCAACTTCCACAATTGTAAATTGGAAGCCATGGCAAAAATAGGAGTGGGGCAGGAGGGAGGGGTTTCGATCAAATGAAGCTTTAGTTTGTGCATTTATATCACTGATCAAGGGCTTCCTGTGACCCAGGGCCTTGGCCAGCAGGAGGAGAGTGCAACAGACGCAGGGGCGCTCACCACACAAACCGCAGTTCACAGCCCTCAGCTCCCAGCTAGAGCCCTGCACACAGCAGGTAACACCAATGCTCCCGCTAAACCTCCTAGTGTGCACAGGGCTTTGGGGTTCCCGTTTGGGTCATTGCTGACAGGCACATTTCCCCAGCAGTCTCTTCTGGGAGGTCAGGACTGCAGTTTCAGTCCTCAGTTGTCAGGAGGCCCCACTGCTGGGCACAGCGCACTGCCTGGGGCTGGAGGGAGCACAGGCTCTCTGACCCCTTTTCTATGCCTGTTCCCTGTTCTATGTGGTTCCCTTGCTCCTCCACTGGCATATAGCAGCTCCTTGCTTTTCCTCAAAAAGCCAGGCATGGTCCTACCACAGGGCCTTAGCACCCGGTTTCTTTCTCTTCAGCTACTTTTCTCTCAGTGTCCACATGGCTTACTTCCTTACCTCCTTCAAGTCTTATTCAAAAATCACCCACACAGTGAGGCTGTCCTGCAACCCTCTGTAAAACAGCACAGCACCCCCATCATTACCAGCTTCCCCTGGGCCCCTTACCCTGCCTTAGTTTTCCGAGCCGTGTCTATCCCTCATGAGGCACAGGGTAAGTTTTACCTGTGCTGATTATTTGTATATGTGGGCCTTCCCCCCAGCACAGCATAAACTCCCAAGGGCAGGAATTTTATCGGCTGCATTCGAGAGCTTGGCACATAGAAAACGCTCAAATTGAATGAATGAATGAGTATGAATATGAGTAAGGAACAGCTTTCCCAAACCGGGACAACCCAAGGCCTTTCTTGGTGTTAAATGAGGGGTAAAACAATAAACATGAAAAACTCGTAGATAGGAAATAGTTTAAGACAAGTGGTCGGGGAGGCTTCCAGAGATGGCAGAAATTAAGTGAACCCAGGAAGGGTAACGGTGACGGTAACAACAGCGGCCGTGTTCTGAACTCTTACTTTGTAGATGTGGGAAGCACGACCCAGACTTGCTGTTTCCATCGTTTCCTGAGGCCACGTAGCGACTGTCCACCTCCTGGCCCATCCTCCTGCCCTCCAGTGGCTGGGTTTATTCTGTCCTCCAGGGCCTGGCTGTGCCTGAGGGAGCATCAGGCTGGCAGTGCCAGGTAGTGAAACTCTTCCCCGTACCCTGCCACAGTGCCACGCCACCCCCTTGCCCAGGAGGGGACACGGTGCTCCTGGCAACCAGACCCCCCCCAAGGGCCGGGCCTGGACAAGAGTTCAAGGGAAATAAAAATTTGGGCCTCGAAATAGAGACCAGCCTTTGCCATGGGCCCGGCCTCCCTAGTAAGTTTACTCTTCCCCAGCTACCAGCTACAAGTCCTACATCAATGGGGGATTCAGGGGAGCATGCAGGAGACCTGGGTTTAATCCAGACCTGGGAAGTGTCATTTGGGACCCCTGCCCTCCAGCCTCCTGGGAAGCTCAGGAAAAGCCACGGCTCAGCTCTCCACTTCTTCCACTCCCAGAACAGCACCCACTGCTCACACCACAAAGCAAGGTGAACAGCCCCTCGGGCCATGTGCGGCTGGCTGTGCCACGTGGGCAGCAGGACAATGAGGACGCCCACAGGATAAGCTGAGCTTCCGGGGCAACCAGTCAAGTGGGGTGCGTGGAAGTGTCACAGGCTCAGCGCTGAGTCCAAATCCTGGCTCCGGCCATCGCCTGCCAGTGCCTGGGCCATGATGTCCACAGCTCTGAGCCTCGGTTTCCCCATCCATAAACCTGGGTGGTGACCAAAGTCTGCTGAGGGGCAGAGGGGACAGTGGATGAGGCGCCCCGCCCAGAGGCTGTACCCAGTGGGGGCTCCGCTCTTCCCGTTCCCCAACTCCACCCTCTCTCCCCCTGCCTGAGACAGCATGGGGAAAATGAGGCTCTTTTCTCAAACCGCCAGCGAGCGATGACTAAAGTAAATAATGAATCCCAGCTTGAAGCCAAGCTTGGACTTGTTCTACAGCCGACCCAGGCTCCGCGACAGAAGGATCAGTTTGCTGCCCGGCTGGGGCTCGGGCTGGCCGGGGTCTGCGGGTGCCACCTCCGCAGTCTCCACCCTCAGTAGCAGGTGCTTCGCTTCCATCCCTCCCGGGCGCTGGGCACTGCGCTCAGGCTCCATTCATCAATCACAGCCCAGCACGCAGAACTGGGAGCCTCCTGGCTGCTGTCACACGCAGAAATTCTCCCATCTAGGCAAGTCCCTTAAAATAGCTCTGTGGGCCTGGGCCATGAGGAAACAGAATTGACCTGGGTCAGAATTGGGTCCAGCCTCAGGTCACACAGCAGCCACTTCCAGTGACGGGGGCAGCCTAGCCTCTCTTCACAGCCTGAGCAGGGTGAGAGAGGCAAGAACCAGGGTGCCGCACAGAGGAGGCCAGGGTCCAAGAGTAGAGGCCACAGTGACTACAGGACGTGGGACACAGCTGCGGGGAGGGGCGACGCTCCGCTGACAGCAAGTCTGGATTTCCAGACCCGGCCGCAGTGTCAAATGGATTCAAAAGTGCAACTTTCAGGCTACACTGGGGCCAGAAGTTATAAATCAGTGCCTGGCACAAAATCAGAGGTAACTGTGCGAACGGTGGTGACGTCATGCAGGTCAAGCTCTCCTTGAACCATTACCAAGGGAGAGCAGTTCTCCAGGAAGGAAAACTCAAGGGCGCTGTCGTGGACTGCGTGGTGAGGGTAAGGGCACGCCCTGGCCCCTTCCCCTTCCTGGCCTACCCGCAAGTGCACTATGGGCATTGGGCAGCACCCCATCCTTGCTCCCTCGGCCTTAGGCGGTCAGATCTGATAAGAGATCAGTTTCCATAGGTCTGAAGTTCCCACTCCAGGGGTCCCAGACACAGAGGGGCTGGCTCCACACCCCGCCGCTCCCTCCTGCACTGGCACCACAAGGGACACTTCCGCCTGTCCCGCAAGGCCTCGCCCAGGCCGGGACACTGGCTTCCTCGCCAGACACAGGTAAACAACACCAAAGGCCTCTCCTTGCTAACTCAACCGCCTCAGGGCCCTCCCTCTATCCAGGTATGGAGAGATGGGCTGTCTCTTTCCGCCCCAAAATGGAAAGACGCCGCCTTCTCAGGGCCTAGCTGTGCTGGCAAACCTGTGGCATAGGTCCCACAGTGGGCAGTTCCTAACACCTATCACCGAAACCTCTGACAGGCTCACCCTCCCCAGAGGAGTTCCTCAGTCAGCCCAGGGAAGGGCCCGCAGTGAGGCCTTTCGAGAAATTCCCGGAGGGTACCGGAGGGGTCCTCTCAGGCACCCCCGCCCCAGAGGCTCCCCAAGACAGCCTGTGACTTCCTCCCGCTGAGTGCAGGCACAGTCACCCTTTTCTAGGTGGGCAGTGGGGTTCTGGAAGGGGAAGGCGGCGCCCAGCCAGCCATGGCTGAGGCCCCCAGGGGGCATCTCCCTGCTGTGGGGGTCTCAGGACACTGCCCGCTGGCCTCGCTCTGCATGCGGGGCTGTGGACTCAATGAGCTGACTGTGTGGGCAGGACCTCCCTCTCCCTGTCCCTCGAGGATGCTGGCAGGGACTCCCCACCCGCCATGGGGCTGCTGGGAGTCTCCCCTAAAAACTCAGCACACAGACAGACAGCTTTTGGAATGTTGGCTGTTGTTTTGTTTTGTTTGGTTTGGTTTTGGGGGCACAGGGTCTCACTATGTAATTGAGACTGACCTGGAACTCACTATGTAGCTCAGGCTGGTCTCGAACTCACAGTGATCCTCCTGCCTCAGCCTCCCGAGTGCTGGGATTACTGGTGTGCGCCACCACGCCCGGCTCAGCTGTTATTGCTGTGATGACATTTCCCTTTAAGAAGCAGGTGGCTGGAATACCCAGAAGTGGGAGCTAACACGAGCACGGGGCCTGCTGGTGGCACTAGAGTGGAAGCTGAGGAGTTCAGAGATCTCGGGTGTTTCCAATGAGCCAGAGACCTCAGAGCTCTGCCTTTCTCAGGCCCTGGGTATGAGTGGAAGTTGCTCTCAGCTGCCAGCCAGGGCCCAACGCCTCATTCCCTTCTCTGTAGCTCCCCTTCCCCGAGAGGCTGGGTGCGGACAACTGCAATGGGCAGCCTGACCGTGGAGTAAGAGCTACAAACAGGAGGGGCTGGATCTGCCCAGCTCAGCAGTCTCCTCAGAAGAGACCTGCCCAGCCAGCCGCAGCTGCAGAAGACCCTGTCCTGCCTCACTGCACTGTCCCCACCCACCTGAGAGGAAAGGGAGGTTCCCAGGCACCCCACTCGGTAGAGTCCCAATTCCCCGCTGCCATCCGAAGGTGATGGCAGCCATCACCCTCCCCCACCTTCCCCGGGGTTCTGCCTGGATTCTCCTGGTGCACTGCCCCTCTTGCTTCTGCTTTTCCCTTTCTTGGGATACTCTTTTCCGGCTTTCTCACCCCATTCCCACGCTTTCCCAGCCAATCCTAATCACTCCTCCTCAAGGCCCACCGGGAAGCTTGCCTTCTCCAGCCAGCCGCCTCACCCTGGAAACCCCAGCGCACAGCAGCTCCGGGACTGAGGGATTACTGTGGCGAAGGCCTGCGACGGGCCAGGCTGTGCTCTAAGAGCCCGTTTAATCCTCAGCATAACCCTATGGGCCAGGTCCTAGCTCTGAAGTGAAATCAAGTGGCAGCTCAAAGCTTGCACGTCAGTGACCAGGGTGAGAATCCCCGCTCTGCTGAGAACTAGAGTCCCTAGAATCCTATGACCCCCTGAGCCTCTGTGAGCACACACGGAACCCACGTGTCTGTCGTGGGTGTTGGAAGCTCAGGTACGATGCCCTCTCCAGGCAGCTTGTGCGGGGTCCAGCACACAGCAGGTACTTGAGTTAGTTCTTCCCCTTCCCTCTGTGCACTGTACAGAGCGTGGGCTCAGACCCCACTGCTGATGTGGCTGCCTGCTTAGAGGTAATCCAGCCTGGCCGGAAGGGGCCTCCCCATGGTCCACCCTCAGGCCTAGCTCCATGACCTCCTGCGCACCTTCCTGCCCGCCACTGATACCCCTGCAGGCAGCAGAAGCCAGGCAGCAGGAAGTAACGCCTCTCTGGGGCTCTGCCTGTTGGCTCACTGACCACCCTATGGGGAGCATCCATTATCCTGGCGACTATCATGGCTGAGAACCCTCTGGCCCTCGCTCAGAGCCTAATTCCAAAGCCGGAATCTCCAGCTCATTTCCCCCACACGCCCCTTGTCCTTCCTGTTCCCCAGGTCCTGGTTCCAATCCATTACTCCTTTCCTGGATTCTCAGAGCTCACCAGGAGTAAGTGTGACTACCGTACGTGGAACTCCATTCTTTGTTTTATTTTGTTTAATTGGGACTTAAAAGGGAACCCAGTTGTCTGTTAGACTTTTTCCAGCCAACAGTGACTCAGGCAGAGGAAATTAGAAGGCAATTGCCAGGGAACTGCTACACCAACCCGAAGTCGGAAATACCCCCATGTCTCCCAGGGCACAGCCCTCCCTGCCGGTTAACTTAGCTCCTCAGAATATCTCTTCAGAAAACGGGCAGCTGGTGCTTATATTTCTGGAGCTAGAACCTTACTCCTCTGACACCAGATAGGTTTACTTTTCCTTCCTTCCCCTCCGCCTGCCACCACATACTGATTCCAGCCCTCATCTGCCCCCAAAGCCCTCACGAAGCTTTGAACGACGCCATGATAAATGCTGGCTGTGCTCCCTGTTCCAACGGTCTGGAAGGATGTGGTTGGTTGTTCCATGAGCAAGGGGTCCAGTCGGCCTGTGAATCACCCCCACATCACTTCCCTCCCCAGGGAAGAGACGGTTCCCATTCAAGTGCGTGTGTGTGTGTGTGTGTGTGTGTGTGAGGTGGGGGGTGAGGCAGGAGTGGGAACGGGCTGTGGCACCGGCCTCAGCCTTACCTGGGACAGGCTCCCCTCCCTCCCAGCACACACTCCTCCCTTTCTTCCTCTCGGGTTACCCGCAAGGCATCCCTGGGTCCCGAGCGCAGCCCTCCAGGTCTCAACAGCTCCTGCGTGTTTATCTGCTTCTCCTGTGCTGGGTGCTCTCCCAACTCATCACCAGAGTGCGAACAGCTGGGCCCGGCTTTGCTCCGGGCTTCACCTCTCAGGTCCCAGGAGTGCCAAACGCAAACCAGCACGCTAAGTGCCCATGATGGGGCCAGGTACTAGGTAGCCGCTTCCCCCACATGATCTCAGATCGACTCCCCCACAGGCCCCGTGCGTTTACGGGTGTGGAAACTGAGCCCCAGGGTGACAGGTTCAAAGTGGCACAGAGAGCAAACGCCAGATGCAGGACGTAAACGCTGCTCTGCCCAGGACCACTCCTTTTACAAGGAAGTGGCCCTGAAGAAGACCTGTCCAGGCTGCAGCTGCACATCCTCACTCCTGTGACAGTCTGGAGGCTAGGAAGTAAAGAGCAGAGAAATGAATAGATCCAGGGCCAGTTCCTAACAATATAGCTCCCACGACCGAGACCACAATCTGTGGTGCCCTAAACACAGGAAGAATGTGTTATCCACGCTCCACTCATCTTGTCGGATGGCATGGACAGGCAGCACCCTGGATTGGCTCTGTCCTGCTCCCCAGGACCTCCCGAACCTCCTGTCAGACTCACCTGGGCGGCACACGGTGGGTTTCCACAGTAAAGCAGCGCGCGGCCTCACCACTACCACACACCCACATGCCAACCGGACCCACATGCCAACCGGGAAGCAGGGCCTTGCCTTCAGGGTCCACGCCCTTTAGCAGGTAAAGTGACCTGCATTCACCCAGATGTGCCTGGTGCTGACTGGGAAACCCCAAGAAATCTGGTTGGCCTCTCCAAGCCTCAGGCAACCCATCTGTCAAAAGGACTCAAAGAGCCATCCCTGAGCTAGGGTACAACCGGTGACCTATGGGGGACCCTGTGGGAACATGTGTGTCAGCATCGGGCACCGTGACTATTGTGTGCGTTTCCTAAAGAGTCCTGTGGAAGATCAGAACATTCTTGACTGGTATTTTTCTGGGGGGAAAACATCAGGAAAGGAAACAACTGTAAAAGCATGACACCTGCTAAATCCAAGCAGACATAATGTCTTCTTTGCTTTAGATAAACGAGCTTCTCTCCATCACCACGTGGCTTGGTGTACACCTACACCCATGGTGCAAAGTGCGATGTGAACCTGAACTTGCATCCATAGCAGAAAACTTCCAAGGGAAGAACCTGCTGTCTGCATCGGGATGAGCAGGACCAAGACAAGCGGTCTGAGACCACAGCCAGCTTACCGAGGTGCCAGGAACAGCCTGAGAGAGCCTGGAGAGGGAGCCTGACCAGCACAGCAGCTGCTCACCTCCCCGTTCCACCCAAGCAGGGGCTGGCAGAGGAAGGAAGCCAAGGCTTGGCAGCACCATAGAAATGCCAGAGGCCACTTGCATGCCACTCATAAACAGGCCCGAGGGAGGATCCCCAGCATCTTGGCAGCTTCCCCTCCCCGTGGGGATGAGCGAGCCCCTGGCCTGATGTCCTGAGAGAACCTTTGCATGTGTTCCCCATGCTCCGCAGCCAGCGCTGCTCCTCCGCTTGGGCCCCAGGTCTCGCTCATCAGCCAGCTCTGGCTAACGTGCACAGCCCGTGAAACATCTCTGCTCTGCAATTTACCAGACCACAGCCTTGGCGTGCCCATCAGGGAGGGGAGCCTATAGGGAGGCATGCTTCTCCAAGACATACGTGACCTGGGTGCAGCAGGTCCTGCCAGCCCGCCTCACCAGCATGCCTTACCCAGGACACGTGGCCTTCCAGAGTGTGCGTCCACCGTGCGAGGGCCAGGGGAGGGGACCTAAGCCTGAGTCCCACTGGACATGTCTACATCGGCATGAATGCCCCCAAGTGTCACAGTCGCACCACCACCAGCTACGTGTCTTCCTGGCCAACCTCAACTGGATGTGGGGAGCCTCTGATGAAAACCCACACCACGGGCAAAAGGCCAGTTAGGCCTGGTGCCGCGGCAGCTGTGCTGCAAGTCACCCATCTGGTTCTCTGTTTCCTGGTCTATAAATGAAAGGGCTGAGCCAGACGAGTCCCTGCCAGCCCCACAATTCCACAACATACAACACTTTCGCCTTTCACTGTTTTCCAGGACCTCAGCGAGGACTCTGTGTGGCCCATCCACTCAGTGACACCACTCCCGGCCCAGCTTGGTGTCATCGATTCTCAGATGGGAAGCGGAGATGTCCCAGGAAACACTTTGTCTGTGAGAAGGGAGGAAACGGCCATTTCCAGGGAACTGGACAGGACTCCTTTTGTATTTTCCACACAGTACATGTTATTATCAATCTTGAAATTCGTCATCTTTCTTCCTTTTTGCTAGACCATTAATAGCTGCTTTTCAAAATTGCTTTCTTAGTCTGAATCGCACCAGCAGTGAGCTACCATTTAATGAGTACTTGCTATGTTCCAGGAACTGGCTAAGTGCTTTCATGGATGATCTCATTCAATGCTCCTCACAACCCCATGAAGCGCATACTATTATTAGCCTCATTTTAAATGAGGAAACTGAGGCCCATAGACAGTTATAGAAGTTGCTCAACTAGTTAGCTGCAGGCCCAGGCTTCAAACAAGTCCCAGGATTTCAGAGCCCCCAGCATGTAGGCATGAGCCCCAGGAGGCCCACAGCAGGCCCAGTTTCTGCTAGCAGCCCTCCTGCTTCATCGCAGTGTGTCCTGCTTGCATTTGTAATCCTGGGCATCCTCAGTCAAAGGAAAAATTTGCTGTTTTATCTAAAAGCCAGAGCTGGAAAAGCACCTGCCTGGGTCTCAGAGCAGAGTGCCATCTGTTGAAAGCGGTGCCAATCTCAACCAAGGATGAGACAAGGGGACCTTAAAATACACCCTGCACCCTTGAGAAGAGTCGAGGAAAGCGGGGACCCACCCACCCAGCCCTCGGAAAGGGGTTTTCTTGTACTGGCAGTGGAGGAAGCTTGCAGAACGGAGTGCCAGGAGTGGACCAACACCCTGCCTGCTCACGGTTACCTGCTCCCGGATCTGTGCCCAGCCCCACTTGCTCAGCTGCAAAGACCGGGCAGAAAGAAGAGCAGGAGGCTGACTTTGCCACAAACCCGTCCCTCCTCCCTCCCACCGGGGAATACAAGGCACTCTAGAGACCAATGCGGTCTAGGGCAGCAACAAACAGCCTGTTTTAATTGTTAAAATTAATGCTCTGAGCAGTCTAAATGCTCCTTTAAATGCCTGATTTGCAAATCAGATGCAGCCCTGCTGTCCATTGTCCCCTGTGCTTGGGCGTCTCTTCGGTCTTAGACAGACTCGGGCGGCGGACGGCCCGGTCACCTTGTTTACCTCCTAAGGTGTGAAGGACGGGAAGACAGGCTGCGCCGGAGCGGGGCCCGCCGCGCAGACCCGGGGCCTGAGCCGCCCCAAGTTTGGGGAGGCGGGGGAGGGGCGGTGGCGGAGCCCACAGCCAGCCTTCGCCTGCTCGCGTCTGGAACCCGAGCATCACTTAGGAGGAAGTGACCCCGGCCAAGGGTCACGTCCAGAGGAGGGATA